TCTTCCCAATTCCTAGCGTTCCTAGACAAATCTTGTGCACAGCAAAGTGATAAAAAATTTGTGACAGAAATTGCAACTGCCAAGCCATTCCACTTTGTCATTAATGTCGCCATCTCAGTTTAGCCACAAAAAGAAATAAATCTGCATCTGTTTAGCAAAAATTGGTAGTTAAATAATTTGCTAAGAATGCAATATTTCCACGCATTGCAAGTAGAGTTATTGAGGGGGTTAGCAATGACAACCCCATCCGGCATGACTGCTATTTCGAAGCAAGTTTTGGGAGAGATTTCCTTGACATACATGCTCTCAAATGCTCAATCATGGTTGACAACCTACTCGCGTTATTGGGTTTACTTAGGACTCAAGCCCATGGCAAAATGCTAAGTTAAATCGCGTAAAATGAAAACGTTGTAATGCTGATCCCGCGTTCCCAATGGGCTAAATAGAATGACTAGCTACTTGCCAGGACGTGCTTCTCCCATTCACCATCGCGCAAGATTAGACCATTTAGTGGCATTGCCAATTTATTTTAACATCATTTCACGATATCTCATTACTGGACAACAACAAGTAAATCCACAAAAAAAACAATATTTTTTGTTTAATTTTTGATATCCGATTCTACCCTTTTTACAATGAAGTTATCAATTAACAGAGAATAACTCTGATAATTTAGACTTCGCTATAATAAACGCGTAACAACGTCATTCAGCATGCAACGAGGAAAAAACTTAGTGATAAGAATATTGAAAGCAGTCACCTGCAAATAATTAATCAGCGATGCTTTGTCAGTTTGTTTTGATTTTTTTGTCTTGACCTACGTACACTATCCAAAACACCGCGCATTAAAAATATACTGGACTGCGTCTGCTAATGCTAATCACCCCTGCTTTACACGCTGTTAGCACACAAAAAAAGCATCATATAAAATCCAAATAAGGGTGAATTTTGTTGCCTTTTTAAGCGAAATGGCTAATCTCTTAACGGTCCGTTGTTCATGGCCAAATATTCGCATTAAAATGTCTGCCCTTAACAATTTACAAGTAAAATTATTCCAAACTTCTACCAAGAGGGATATTTTTGCAACCACTCGAGAATCCATGCGTTATTGGAAAATTGGGCTAGTGGCATTAATTCCTCCCCATTCTAATGATAATTCCTATAATTACCCAAAAATATGCGTGCTTTTAAGTGAGGAAAATTCGTTGTTGATGTAGAAACGAATCTGTCTTGCCTACACATTGCAATGTGGTGAGCAATTGCTTCTGTGTCTTTATATTCTTACATTTGCCTAACCGCATGATATTTACTACTGGTCGTTCAAAAGACAACCATCTCCTCAGGGCATTATTGTGGAACAGTGGTGCAGATCTTGTGGCAGTTGACTTCACTTTGCGCAGTAAGTAAACCTAAAACACAGCCAATGGGCTTGAATGCTATTCCTAATAAGAGAGCCTCAAGATGTGAGAGTAGTACAAAGCACAGTAGCGAGTGCCTCACACTGAAGGGACACTTGAATGCGCTCTACATATTCCTATTAGTTCCAACAGATGGAAAGCACAGGAACTTCTGCTGCCCAGTCAATTAGACAACTGTACTTCTCATTACATCGACGCAAGTACAATTAACTACAGTTCCTGTCGTTCTACAGATCCAGTGAATAACTGGCACCGGCATATGGGCACGTGAAAATTTGCACGCACAGCATCCTTGAACAAGGCGGAATCCACCTCCAATAATCGCAAAGACAACATTGACTGATTGTAGCAAATTTGTTATTGGTGGTATTTACTGTGTTAACATTGAGAAATAATATCTTGTTCACATTCATCACAATCACTAGGAAGTGATCTGCAAGTTGATCCAGCCGAGGGAAAGCTGTTTGATTTGACCTGCGTCGTGTGCCAAGTACTCATTGCACAGAAGGTTGCTGTCTATCCCCGCAAAATCCACTAGCTGGTCAATGGGGTGGACAACACCGATCTCCGGCCCCTTATAGTTCGACGCCACGTTAAGTGAAGCTGCGCCTACACCTGCAAAAATGATGAAAGCAAAATATTTTAACAAAGCCACCAGCACCATTTTTATAAAGCCCTAATGCATCACGACAATTCTTTGGCTGCTGGAAGAGGTTGGTTTGGTGAAAGGTGGCAGTACCTACAAAATACATGTAGCATACGACTGATTTTACGGGAAAGCAGTTCCTCGTTTTGAGGAAATTTAAGAACGGTCTTAAAACCAAATGCTGCTCATTAATTTGGATCAAGCACTACGAGACAGATGATGGGAATCACCAACAAAACCATGCAAAGCTTTTGGTGTTTAAATCTACTTCTCAGCAAAAACAGATTTTCTGTCAACAATGTCTTGGACAAATTTATGAAAAGCATGACAACCAAATGCAATGGATTTCAAAACTGAATACCTTGACAAATAATGCCTTCCAGCAAACGAGAGCAATAAAAGGTTATGTTCACATGTGCTTAGGCAGAGACATTTAAAAAAAACTGCAAAAGCTGGAAAATGCCGCATATGATACTTAAGAATTCGCGCTCGCAAAGGAGGATTTACAAAACTCTCGATAAAAGCATCAGCACGAAAAGAGGACAGAGTTACCTTTATGGCTGCCGTGGCAGCGAAACAGTCGTGCACTTCACCGAGAGCAACTTCACAGAGGCAAAGACAGCTCCAGGATGCACTGGTGAGGTCAAGCACTAACTCCAGCGGATTTGCTCCCAATGAGAGAGAAGGCTTGATGGTAGGCGTAATTCGTGGCCCTTGTGCTCTACCAAGCAAAAAAGACAAAGCTGTGCACAAAAAAGAAAGTACTGATATTTGAGAAGTAGCAGTGGAAAGCATTCACAGAAAGCCTGCCAAAATTGTACAACAAGAAACGTGACAGAGCCTCATGCGAGCTGCTTCACACAAGACCTACAGTAAACGAGCAAAAGCTCCGATGCCCATCGGTTTCGCTACTGAAGGCATAGAAAAAAGAGGATGAAGCAATTCCCTATTCCTAATCTCACTCAGTATTTGTCGTCATAGTCCCACTCTATACTGGCATAAGAAGAAACTGCCTTACAAAAGCAATGCAGAACACTGCCAGAGAGGACACAATGCCAGGTCATGAAGCACTAGTGGAGTGAAAAACCAAGGCCCGCACACTCCCCTTTCCCTCCTTCCAAGCCGTTGTCGCCATGATGTACGAGAGAAATGCATTGCACACATACCAAAGGAAAATAGCATAAATTCTAAAGCCCATTATCTTGATAATACAGAAAAGAGAAGAAACCGTACAAAGTTGCTTCTATCAACAAGGATTTACCCTACGCAAAAAGTAATGCAGTAAGGAAGGACTGCATAAAGAAACGATAAAGCTTAGTGTTATTGCGTTGGAATAATAAAGAAAATAATAATATTAATAATGGGATAACAAAACTCCAAAGCAAAAGCAATTGCAGCTGGAAGACATTGTAGATGAAGTTGAAACGAACAAACGTGTCAGAAGTAAAGGCCAGCAAAATCATACGCACAGAAAACAAGGAAATAGACGAAACAAAGTAAGAGAGGAAAGAGACCAAGTAACGGTACAGGTAAGCTCCAGTGAGAGAAAAAGATCACTCCGCTCTGCCCTGTTTCGCTCTACCTCACACGCTGCCGCCGCCATGGCTTCCCATCACACTTGCGGCAACGCAAAAGCAGCATCGCAACAATTATCAGAGTGCTCGCAAACCGGTGTCTTAGTTAAGCCGTCTATGATAACCATCTTTCAGATCCTGCATTTACTTATGCTAGAGAGTTCCTCTGAATTCAAATGGCTTCGAACCTGAATGTTCCACTCACCGATTCCAGA